TCTTCGGAACAACGGGTATGTGTCTTTTTTTTTTCTTTTGATGATGTTTATCGATCTAGTTTATAATTCATATTAAATATTATAACGTTTTATTTATTTTTATAGAAAATTGTAAGCTTAGAGGCCCAAGTTCCGGATTTACACGAAGAAAATCAGCGTCGATGGATGGTGGAGGAGCAACTTCTGAAACAAATGAATGATATGACTGCTTTGGTTAACGAACTCCATCAATCACAATTCCCACCGCCATCTAATTGAATATTGTTTGTTTATTTGGAATAATTTAGTTTGTTTGTAACATTGTGTGATACTTAAAATTGTATATGTTTTGTAACAATTGTTTACTTTAATCAATGTATGATATTTGGTTGCATTTTAATTTTTTAGTTTTATCCATATTTTTACAGATTTACAGGATTTAAATATTTGTTGAAAAAATAAACAAATTTTTTTTTATAATGAAATTATTTTTCCGGCGGATCCGGCTGCCGGATATTTTTTTAATTTTTTTTGAAAATCTTATTTAAATAAAAAAATTTAAAATAAAAAATAAAACCGGCGGATTTCCGGCGGATTCTGCCGCCGGTAAATTTTTTTAATTTATTTTTGAAAATCTTGTTTAATTAATTTTTTCCGGCGAGAAAAGACTCTGGCGGATTTCAGGCAGATATATCCGTCGGAAAAGTTTTTAAATTTTTTTATTAAGTTAAACCAAATTTCTTAATTAAGCCGGTGAAAGATTTCCAGCGGCCGAAATCCGCCGGAAAACTCGACGTAAAAAAAATCACCGGCGCCCTCTTTTCCGGCGGACAAAAGAGGGTAATTTTGGTAGTGGGAGAAATCGAGAGCTGAAGAGAGATGGAGGAGCGAGATGGAGATGGAGATGGAGAAATCGAGAACTGAGAGCGAGATGGAGATGGGAGGCGGTTCTAAATTGATTTCAGACATAGAATTCTCACTTAAAATTAAGAGGACGGTAATAGGTAAAAAAACTCTTTATTTTAAAAAAAAGTTCTGAAATCACTTATGTCTGACTGATTAAGAGTTAAAAGGTAATTAAGTGGAGAATTATAAAAAACAAACAGCCCCTAAATGTTACCGGAGTAGAAGTACTAATAAATGAGTGACACATTAGGTCTAAGCCGATAGACCCAATTTTCCCGCTGACAAAATCAACAATTTTCATTCAATGTATGGCAATTTATATGAAACATATAATCAAAAATTTAAATAAGACAAAACCCATTTTTATTTTTGAAATAAAGATTAATGTAACACCACATTTAATTTTGGGGCTATTTGGGAAATATATATCATGAGATGGGACATGTTGTGTAGTTATAGTGGATGGTCTGAAGGATTGATTGGAGAGTTGCATGGTTAAATTTGGGGTGGGCTAAATGCATTCCTATGCTTTGCTTAATGCATCCCTATCCATGAATTTTTCCTTCACATACATCAACATCAATACATGTTTTTTACATTCTTAATGCTTGAACGACTCGATTCGGACATGAAAGGGGGTGACATTAGCACCCCCTTAAATTTAGGATAAACCCAAGTGTCAAGAAAATCGCATCATGAAGTTGAAGTTTTTCGTTTAGATATTATCCATAAATCGGTCTAATCAAACCCCCCCCCCCCTCCTCTCTCTCTCTCTCTCTGATTTTCAAGGTTCTTGGGTTTTTCGTCCTCTTCCTTGGCTTCCATGGAGGATCGTTCACCTCCAATGAAGAAATCAAGGCATATGAAAACTAGGAAAGTATGTTTTCCTAACCAACGATCTCCTTCTCATCGTGTGAAAAATCGTTTGCCAAATCTACGTTGGAAGACTATGATGAATGGTTATCATTTTTGTGCCAAACGTATGGTAAGAAGGAGGGTCATCGTGGACAAGCAAAGGATGTTGGTGATTCTAAAAAACCGTCATTCTCATTCAAAGCTTCGATCTGTTATAGAAGAGGAGGGAGGCCTTGAAGGTTAGTAATAATTTTCATCCCTACTCTTTAGGACTTGCATTTATAAACGAAATAAAGATATATTTTACGTTAGAAATGGGTTGCCAATTGTTGGGCAAACGTTAAAACTTGTATTTTTAAACGAAATTGAGGTCTATATTATGTTAGAAATGGGTTGTCAATTATTGGCAAACTTTACGACTTGCATTTTTAAAAGAAATTGAGATATATTTTACGTTAGAAATGGGTTGCCAATTGTTGGGCAAACGTTAGGACTTGTATTTATAAACGAAATAGAGATATATTTACGTTAGAAATGGGTTGCCAATTGTTGGGCAAACGTTAGGACTTGTATTTATAAACAAAATAGAGATATATTTTACATTAGAAATGGGTTGCCAATTGTTGGGCAAACGTTAGGACTTGTATTT